CCCCATGCCTCTGTTTTCTAAATGTTTCCTATAAATGTTCATGCTGGTGAAATGGTAGAGAGAGCTTGTGTCAGTTCTCTGACCTACAGCACGGCTTCTGCAGTACAAGATACATTTCAAGAATGTTATTTCATGACAAAACAGTTTCTGAGGTGTATTTCTACCGCCGTGAACATAACTATTGATGCATTTCTTTAATAGTGAATAAATGGTTATGCTTCTGTTTGAGTTGTTCTTCACCCTGTATCGCATGTTCTGCATTTCCATTGGAAGGGAGTAAGTGAGGATGGGATAATATCTCTTGTTTGAGGTCCTCGTGGTGATACAAGTGGCACTATAGTCAGAAATGAGAAACTATTTTGAAAATAATTTCTTGACTTTGATCTCGTTGCAGTCCACTGTATAATTTATTGTTTATGGCAACCATGTAAAGACTCCAGTAAAAGTTGATTGTTTACAGTCAAAGTATTACAGTTGACTTAAAGCCTTCCTTTGTCAAAACCAGGGAGGCATTAAAGCTGTAGGCAGTAACTGCAGTTTTCAGATAGATGTTCAAATAAACTGGCAGGGAAATGTCAGTGGTCCCTTGTGAAAAGATACCTTCTCGTTCACTTTTCATTAATTTAATTCATTGGAAACAACCTGCTCTCATCCATTATATGCAACTGTACCTTAACTGCTGCATCCCAATATTACCCTGAGACGAAATAACTCGATAGAACGCTCACACCTTCAGTTCAATAGCTATGCCTGTACTTCATTTCCATACCTGTCTTTTAGGTACAGGGCATGTTAGCAGTGATGGCAAAGTGCCAGTACTGCTGCTGATTATTTAGTTTAAAGCTTGAAGCTCTAGTGTGCATAGATAGCACTGTCATCAGTTGTTCCTTGCAGGAGTGCTGTCTGCCTGCAAATCAGTTAAGCTACAAATGTTGCTCTTTGTCTAGTACTGAGCAAGTTTCACATGGTGATAATGAATGCCAGATAAGACCTCTGAACAAAAAGTTGAGTGTAGAGATCCAAACACACTGGAGCTGGAGAGTTTTTTTTCCTGCTTATTACTGTTTCAATGTAGTAATAACAATAGTAAGACAGGTGTAAATACTTCTTACTAATGTTAAGTACATTTTTGGGTCAAGGAGTAAGGTCATTCCCTGGAGCAGCTGGGGTTAAGGACTAAATGGATTTGGTATTACCCTGGGCACAGACCCCACGACCCAATTTTTTCAGTGTGCCATTTTGAGTTAGACGCTCACTGTAATGCCATCGTTATACTGAATTAGCAGAAGCTATGCTGTTTGCTTTGAGTCGTACAGCTCATTTTACAATTGGGGATTGCATATTTCTAATTGCTCTGTTGCATCTTTGAAAAACATTTTGTATGAAATGAAGTTGTGTATGTGTGTCTCTGCCTAAAACGAGAGATGTGACACTTAGCTCTTGTGTCTCAGTGAGGACAACACCTGGGAGCCTGAGGACAACCTCGACTGCCCGGACCTGATCGCAGAGTTCCTGCAGTCGCAGAAAGCAGCCCACGAGGCTGGCGGGAAGAGGAAGCCGGAGTCCGAGCCAGAAGGGGCAGGAGCAGGAGCCGGAGCAGGAGCAGGAGCAGCAGCGGAGGAGAGCCGGCCCAAGAAGAGGAAAGATGAGGTGACCCACCCTGTCAAGGAAGAGGCCATGCAGAGATGAAGGCCTTGCCTGCTGCCTCGGTCTGACCTGGGCTGGTTCTCTTGCAGCCTGAGAAGCTTAGAGGGTTTGCTCGAGGCCTGGATCCCGAACGCATCATTGGGGCCACGGACTCCAGCGGGGAGCTGATGTTCCTCATGAAGTGGTGCGTATTGTTTGTGTTGTTATGCCCTGTAAGCAGGTTCTCCAATTTACAGGGGGGGTTGGTGGCAGGATTAGCACTCCAGCCACTGGGGAAAAAAACTCACACTGGTCCATTTGGACTAATGTGGTGCTGAAGTATCACCCACTGCACAGCTGCTCTCAGGTTCTCATCCCTGGTGGTTCGTCGTGTGGTGGATGTGGCAATGTGCTGTAATCGACTCACACCCCTTACATCTGTACTTCTGTTCTTAGTATTGGAACTAATCCTTGCCAATGGAACGACATAAAATGGGTACACAAGTACAGTCAAGTACACATATTGAGAAACAGTCCTTTTAGGATTGATCTTTTTTTAACGTTAAAGCAGATAGGGTGGTGTGTAGCTCAGTAGGCTGTGAACTCAGAACTTCTTTGAATTCCTCAGACCGTCCAGTACATGTAGTGCAGGTCCCACCCACCTGGTTGGTTATCTCGCCCGCAGGTCCCTCAGACTCGTGTCACTGTTGTAACTTGAGACTGCCCCCTCCTCCCCACAGGAAAAACTCAGACGAGGCAGACCTGGTGCCAGCCAAGGAGGCCAACGTTAAGTGTCCGCAGGTGGTCATCTCTTTCTACGAGGAAAGGCTCACGTGGCACTCATACCCCACAGAGGAGGAGGAGAAGAAGGAGGACAAGAATTAGACAGGGGCTGGGGGAGGGGCAGCGGGGCCAGGTGGGGGGAGGGGTTGCAGATCCCCCTCTGTTTTTGGTTTTTATGGTTTTCTTTAAAAACGCAAACACATCACTTAGGTGAGCCAGTCGGAGGAGGCTATAGGAGGTGCGCGAAGGGGTGGGACAGCAGGGAGGAGGTGCAGTATCCCTTTCTGTTTAGACACTGGGTCACCACTCAAGCCGACAGCTTCAGCAGGGGTTTTCAGATGCTTGTGGTAAGATCACATATTTGTATCCAACAGATTGTCTACAAACATTTTTTAACATTATTTTTAATGGCTAGAAAAATCAGAAAAAAATAAAGGCTGCCAAAGACTAGCTGTGATGACCTTACACTTGTATGCAGAGAAGAAACCTTTTCTCTTTAAACTTTTTTTTTGTCTTTGGATTTTATTTTTCTTTCTTTTGTTGTAGTTTATATATCTGCAAAAAAAACTTTAAATTTGTGCTGGAACAACATCATGACATGGCTGGTGCATAGTTTTGCTGTGGTGTGTTGCTCTGGTGACATGCACAGAAATGCCCCCAGGAGGCTGGAAAATGGGTTTACACAGGTCCAACAGCAGGCAGGCAGCTAGTTCGCTGCACACCGCCAGCATCTGTCTGGCCAGTGCCCTCGACTGGCTGACACCTGTGTGCATAGTGTGATGGGAAATTCCTGCGCAGTCTGTAATGGTACTTGCAAGCTAGCCAGAGTTTTCCTTTTTTGGCAGGTTCTGAGTGTAAATCTCTCCTGAGCTACAGAGGTTTAAAATATTATGTCCAGTGATTGTGTCCTTGCCTCTCTTTGAACGGAAAGCTGTTGTGTGTCCAGCGATACATGCACATAGAAACACACAGATGTCTGGCCACTAATCCCACAGGCCACCAGCTGTAAGGCCCTGGTCAGATTAACAAGTACAGAATAAAATTATGTATGGGGGTAAATGTTTATTTTGGACCAAATCTTTATTATTTTTACAATGCATTTCAGGATGGACAGTAGTGAGTAATTCTTCAGCAGTTCCTTTTCTGAAGAACCCTCACAGTGCAGAACACTCTTAACATACAGATTTTTTTTTTTTTTTTTTTTGGAGAATCCATAGCATTTCAAAGAGGAACAAGCATGTGATAGCAGTATTATACGTTTGCTCGCATCACCGGGCGCTGATGTTGCCACTGCCATCCTGTTTTAACAGAACTTTGGAAAATAAAGTGCAATTAACGGCCCCTTTTCAGAACGTTGTTTTATTATTATTTTATTTTCATTGAATAGCTCTGTCATCTGTTTGACCAGACTAATCTTTCAAAAAAAAATTGTCCGTTTCCACTGCAGTGGTCTCGCTCTCTGCTTTGTGATGTCCGGTTGGCAGTTGGGGGCAAGAGTTGAATACTGCTTACTAATCCAACTGCAAAGGAATACCCATGTTTTATAGGAAAGGGGCTGCACAGGTAGCAGTCTTCTATACCAATTTACCACCTAAATTACTGAGCTCCTGGCAAAGTGAGGAATGAGGCTTCAGCACCCGTGGGTAAGGTGAATAGCTGCATACTGTCAATCACTGCCTGATCTAACCCAAAGGGAGCTACAGAGCAAGCCAATCAGAAGGGGGGTACGCTGTTAAACCTGGGTCTTTGAAGCCTTGTTTCTGCTATCACTGCTTGACAGATTTCTTTTGAGTTCAAGTTCAGTTTGTCAGGGAATTTTCATTCCGCCATTTAATGCAGTATTCATCGCTGCAGTGTGTGTGTGTTAATTTGATTTCCTGTTCTAAAACTCCCTGTCAGCGCTGCCTTTCAAGGTCTCCGACAGGTTTATTTTCCTACCTGGATAACCAGTTCACTGCTTGCCTGTCATTACTGTTGGTAATCAAGGACTTGACTCTGCCTTATCAGAGTGTTTGGGGTTACAGAGTTGGGTTTGAGATGTGAAAAGCATATGATCATTTTGTTTTATAATATAGTATTGTATGAATTTCCTTCGCGTTTACATTTTAGAATTGAAGAGACCACAGAGTACAGTTTTTCTGTGATTTTGTGATTTTTCTTGTGGAAGATGGATCAGTTTCTTGGTTAACCCCACCCCCTACCTTTTTTTTTCCCCCCCAAGGACAAAAATATATTGAGGGGCAAAAATAAATGGCTTTTGTAAATGAAAAGCAGTTCGTTTTGCATGTACCACTGTTCTGTGATCCTTGGTTTAGGAAATGTTACTGTAACTCGTATGTTTTTTTGCAATACATGCTTTCTTTGTCATGTCTACTGTGTTGATTCAGTTTTTCTCAAATTCTTTTTGTGTATTGTCATGTATACATCTTCAGCTATGTGAGTTAGTAGCATGTCCTGTATGAAATAGCCACTAGGTGGCACAATGACAGTAGAAAATTGAAGAATTCTAGAATATTCCTAACTGTCCTGTCCAAACTAGTATGAGGTTGTATTTCTGTGGTGATACATACGAAGGTAGCTATTTAAGCCCCTTCGTATTTGAGTACTCTGGTTTCAGTGCCAAGTAACGGACAGAATCCTGGTCTCTCGAGTCTTCTCGCCGCCTGCAGCCCACGCATCACCTCTTGAAATCAGAACTTAAGTGTTCATGTGCACAATTGGAGTCTTCTGAATATCTTTTCCTACAGAGGACAATTTTGCATTGGGTTTTTTTCTGTGTAATTTTATTACATAATAGAATTGACCAAGCAGGAATTCAAAGTCAGAACTGCAGCCTGCTTGCAGTGTATTGCAGCGAATTATGGTATCAGACTAAAATTCATGACTATGCTTCAAACGCAAGTTCTTTCCTCTTGTAGCATTTAATAGGTAAATGAGTATCTGGTGATATGTACATTTAAACTCCGGTGACAGCCTGTGTTTTGCAGTGTTGTGCATGAGTTGTGAAGGTGTCTCTCTCTTCCTCTCAGCTTATTATTCCAGCCCGGAATTGTAATTGGAATGGTAGCTGCACCGTGGCATTGGCTGCTGCATTTAAGGCTGTAACTTGTTATAAATTCAAATGATACGTTCCATGCAGCAAAACAATTTGGTGTCCCAGTGGTACCTTGCTGCTACCACCTTAATATTTCAGGTTAACATGTTCAGAATGGAATTAATTGCAACTGAGTAATGATAGATTTTTTTATTATTTTTTGCTTAAGCTACTGGCAATCAATTTGAGCCAAATATGAGTTTATATGATATGTAAATGACACTGTTTTGAGAGCCTTTGAGTGTAGTACCTCAAGATAAATTTAAACTAATAGATTATAAATGTAGAAAATGTATAAAACAAGCCTCACCTTTGCCATAGTTGCTTGTATGTGACAGCACTTTGGATTTCAGGAGAGAACCGTCACACGTGGGTGGACAGCTGACGAAATTCAGGCTCTTTACAGTAGAGGGCACTAGTGCTGCACATTTCATATGCTTGTTGGGGTCAATCCTGAAAAGTAATGCAGATCAAGCATTAGTAATAGGCAAAGGGGGTATATGAAAGGATAGGGGTCAGCTCTGGTATGAGACCCATGTTGTGGTGTTATGTAATTCACCTTCCAGGCTAATATTTCAAAATGAACTCTGCACGTGTTTGTTGTGACGAGCTAAATCCCTGCCCAAGCTTGCTGTAGGCAATTGCTTAAAAGACATCAAATGGTCCCCCATAAGGCATCAGTAATCAATAGTTTTCTTGTTAAGGGAAGGTATTCAGATTGGCTGGCAGCCTCCTGGAGAAGGAGTGGGGAAGGGAGAAGAGAAGGGAATCTGCAGCACTATTGGGAGAAACGCACACATGCACACATCATAAAGCATGCGTTAGCACTTCTGTCTCCTAACAAAAGCATAGCTGGTCAGTCATATGGGTGTATTAACAGGATACTGAATCAATGCCATTGTTTTCCACATATAGGTTCTTCCAGAGGTGTCTTCAAACTGCTGTGCATTGCAGCCAGAGCAAATCAACGCGAAATCTGATGGTGAAGGCAGAATATCCCACTGCTTCTCCAACTCCCTTGGACATTTTGTCTGCCCTCCAAAAAATACTGTGCTCATCAGTCATGTCATTTAATTTGCTCATTTTATGGTGTCTTGCTGTGGTGTCTCCTCGACTGTAATTTGATTAGTATGAGTGGTGTGTATACATCAGCACTGGTGTGTAGCTCAGCAGATATGCACTTTGGAATCTGCCACAAATGGCCTTCACTTCAGACAGGTTGCAAGATATGTGACTGGTTTGTCAGGCCCACAAAGACTTTAGCTAGACTGCAGGTCTTGTTCCCATGGATATGCAGAGGGAAGCTGTGGAGTGCCATGGCAACCAACCCCTTGTAAAGACTTTTGGCCTTATTGTTCTTCTACATGGTGTAATCCAAATGCTTTTGTGTGTGTGTGTGTCTCCCATTGCGTTAAGATGCCAGTACTTATTAGCAATAATGTGGAACATTAAAACGGTAGGCAAGCAGAGACTGGTCAGTGTGAATTGGGTGGCTGTGCTCAGTAGTACAGTTCCCTTATTTATTCCTGGCGGTTAGTAAAATAACCAACAGCCCAACTACTGTATTCAATATAAAGGCAATGGACTGAGCTGCAAGGTTTGGCCTTTGATTTTCTTTTCTCATCAGAAATTCACTAAGTGGTCTGGGTAAAAGTCACACAGTATTGTTCCATTTTCAGCATTTCATCTAAATGGTTTTTCTTGTGACAATAGCTCCTCTCGCTGTGTGTCACCCATCTTGCCAGTTACTTGCCGGGTTAATGGTACCAAAAGCTTAGCCATCAAAAATTTGGCACCGCTTGCATGTGTGTTATGAAAGGATCAAAGAGTCCAATTTCCAATCAATCAGTCAGGACAATCTCTGCTCTTTCCCCCCGTCACAACTTCCCTGATCATTATCCTCTGGAAAGGACGTTCTTGTCGTCAGAGGGACAATACGGTCTTCCTCTGACTGCAGGTGATGTGGTACATCGTGGTGTGCTGGAGAAGCTCACCCAGGATGGAGGTGGACAGCCAATGAACATGAGGCAAGA